GTATGGATTACCTCTCAATGTAAAAAAACCAAAAAGCCTCACCACTGGACCAATAAACAACATTCTTATCAATGGAGAAAAGACTGAAGTTGTCAAGGACTTCATTCTTCTTGATCAACTATCAACACTCATGGAAGCAGCAGTCAAGAAATCAAACGACATATTGCCTGATGCACGGACCTTTTTAAAATGTTGAAGAGCAAAGATGTCAGCTTGAGGACTAAGGTGCACCTGGCCCAAGCCATGGTATTTTCAATAACCTCATATGCATGCGAAAACTGGACAGTGAATAAGGAAGACAGTAGAAGAATTGATGCATTTGAGTTATGGTATTGGAGGAGAATATTGAAAAGTGTCATGGGCTGCCAAAAGAACAAATAGATCTGTGTTGGAAGAAGTGCAGCCAGAGTGCTCCTTGGAGGCCAGGATGGTCAAACTTTGTCTATCAACTTCGGACACATTCTCAGAAGGGACCAGTCGCTGGAGAAGGATATCTTATTTGGTAGGGTGGAGGGTCAGACAAAAAGAGGAAGACCCCCCAGCAACATGGATTGGCAAAGTGGCAGCATCAATGGGCTCAACAATTGTGAGATTGGCCCAGGATCGGGCAGTGTGTCGTTCTGTTGTGCATAAAGTCACTATGAGTTGGTACTGACTCGATGGTACCTAACAACACCACCACCACCAACATGAGTGGGAACCGACTCGATGGCACTTACCAACAATTATTGTTGTTGTTAAGTGCTGTCGAGTCGGTTCCGACCCATAGCGACCCTGAACAGGGTTTCCGAGGCTGTAAAGCCTCATCTTTCTCCCACGGAGCAGCTGGTAGTTTCGAACTGCTGACCTTGCATTTCACAGCCCGATTCATAACCACTACGCTACCAGAGCTCCTTTACCAACAATATACAGCAGGTACATTGTCCCTGCTTTGGAGGTCCCTGGGTGGCACAAACTGTTAACGCTGGGCAGTTTGAGTTCACCCAGCGCTGCCTTGGAAGAATGGCATGGAGATCTACTTCCAAAAACTCAGCTACGGAAAGCCTATAGAGCACAAATCTACTCTGACACATAAAGAGGCTCCTCCACGGTAACAGGTTTTAACTGGTGTCTCAATGAAACTGAGAAAGACACCCTCATCCCCACTCTCAAACCCCTACACCAAAATAGCGAATGAATGCTGAGGGTGAATTACCAAATACCGTGTTGTCAGCGGCTGGGAGTATCACCATCACTTCTCTTCAGTTCATCCCTCACTGCCACCTAAGAAAATGTAAATGTAGTGGCAATAGTAACTGACCACGGGCCCTCTGTTGTTCACCCCTCGGAGCCAAATTCCTCCACACCGCGAGGCGACCCCCTCTCCTCACGCCAGAAGACGTTTCAGTCGCGGCTGGGGCCTCCTTGGGCCAAGGGCCGGGAGAAGTCTCAGAGTGCGGGACTCAAACATCGCTTGGTGGAAGGCGGATTGGGAATCCCCTGCGCATGACCCAAGGGCCATTGGAAACCAAAGGTTTCTCAGTTGTTTTCCTAGCCCGCCAGAACCTTGGTTGCCCGGACGTCCCCCGCCCCCAGCGGAACTACAATTCCCAGCACCGCTGCCGCCCGGACACCCGGAAGCTGAAGTTGGGAGGGGAGGAAGACTCTGAGACCCAGCCAACAGGCCAGGGGTTAATCTAGCAAGAAAAAGGGGGCGGGAAGGTCTGTGGGGGTACCTGTCAATTCGCCACCATGAACGTGGTTTTTGCTGTGAAGCAATACATTTCCAAAATGATAGAGGACAGCGGACCCGGTATGAAAGTACTTCTCATGGATAGAGAGACGGTGAGTTTGTTTTCCCTTCAATATTTATGAAGCAGCCGTTTCCCTTTCCAATAGCTAGTCCCATTCCACTGTAGAATATAGTATTTAATTAAAGATTTTTAAAACGAGAGTCAGTTCTGGAAGGAAACTGAGAAGTTGCATAAAGCTTGCCCAGTGGATTTTCAGAATACATGGCTCCAGCCATTGCCTACAGATTTTTGAATCCGGAGCAATTTATAGGAATCAGAAATCTATTTCTAAATGTCGCTATCAAGAAATAATGTGTGACACAGAGTACTAGGAATATTTTTAATAGCCCTGTTATTTCCAGTCAACGTTGTGTTTTTAAAATAAAGCCGAGATGATAGGTTATTATTGGTCAAAGACCTTAAAAAACAACAACTCTTTAAGGTGATGCAAATTATGGATTGTCTATGTACAGAGAGAGCACATTTTTCATTCTTGTACAATGCCTAGGTGCTTTGAATACTCAGTAAACTTTAATTCATATGTTAGCATTTAAGTTATCCAGCTAAGGATTAATGAAAAAATAATTTAAAAAATCTTAGCTATTGCTGTTTGTTTTTGTTATTCTGGATTAGCAAGATTTTAGTAATTCTTTTTCTTTACAGACTGGAATAGTGAGTATGGTATACACACAATCAGAGATTCTTCAGAAAGAAGTGTACCTCTTTGAACGCATTGACTCTCAAAATCGAGAAACTATGAAACATCTGAAGGCAATTTGTTTTCTTCGACCTACAAAGGTACTACGTGAACTGAATTGCCATCTGGCCCAGGCAAATGCAGAATATTCTGGTTTAAAAGCATTAAGGAGGCAAAATAAATTTTAATATCATCATTCATGGTATCATAACTATCCTTATCTATCAATTATAACCTGACTTTCTCCTTTCCACATCTCAGTTCATCCTTCACAGCCAGTTCTTCCTTCAAAATGTCTTTTAGGTTCTTGGCTACTTCTAAAGCCACTACTATAACAGAAACCCACATCACTTTATTCCTGGATTTACATCCATATCTTCTTGTTAGTAAGTGCTATCAAGTCAGTTCCGACTCATAGTGACTCTATACAGGGTTTCTGAGGAAGAGCTGGTGGGTTTGAACTGTTGACCTTGTGGTTCACAGTCCAGTGCTGATCCTATAGTGCTACACCATGAATCCAACATCTATATCGGTCATACCATATATCATTGCCACTTAATCTTATATGTAACTATCAGTGTCTTAAATCTATATAATTTTCTTCAAATCTATATTCAGGAACCTATAGTGGCTCAATTTTATGATTAAATCGATATTTGGTAGACCAATAGTCAAACTCCTCTTGTAATTGGTCTGGTCTGTCCATTTGTATCCAGCCTTCCTATGACCCTACTCTGCTTCTTCACTACAGCCTTTTTATCATACCTCTACATCCTCATTTCTGTACCCTATTTTCTTGTTGTCTTCCCCTAATATAAGGTTCTTTAGCATTCTTTTAGCCATTGTCCATTACTTTCTAAATATATCTTGAGTAGCTTCTTTAAAAGTACTTTCTTAATTAATTGCATATTCTGTTGCAATATGAATATCTATATTCTTCAATTCCAGTGCACTCTTTGGCCAAGCTTATGCATATAGATAAATCAGATCATGTCACACACACACCCCTCCCCCCAACACTTGAAATCCTTGAATGACTTCTCATTATTTTAGGATAAAGACAAAATTCCTTAATTGTGTAGCGTAGTGGTTAAGAATCGGGCTGCAAACCGCAAGGTTAGCAGTTTGAAACTACCAGCTGTTTCGTGGGAGAAAGATGAGGCTTTCTGCTCCGGTAAAGATTTACAGCCTCGGAAACCCTCCCTGTACAGGCTCGCTATGAGGCGGAACCGACTCCATGGCACATAACCAACCAATCAGTATGCACATAACCAACCAATCAGATAAATTATAAACATCACAGTAGGTCAGAGTCTTGGGTTTAATAAATTAAAAGTCAAAATGAATATACTCATTGCCACTGAGTCACTGATGCCTCATAATGACCCTACAGGAAAGAAGAGAATTGCCCTAGAATGTTTCCAAGGCTGTAATCTTTAGGGAAGCAGTCCGTTACATCTTTCTCCCTTGTAGTAGTCTTGAACTGCTGACTCTTCAATTAGTAGTTGAGCACTTGACCACTGTGCTACCAGGATCCCTTTAAATTAAAGGGAATATAATTAACTATATTTCTCTTAACTGTTCTTTTTTAAAGGATAGAGAAATTTTAATATCCTATATAAAATTTTTTATCAGATGAGTATATGAATGAGCATCTCGAGGAACCTTTGCAGAATTGTCAATTTTATGTTGTAATAAGGGGGCTTCAAAAAGTGTGTGGAAAAGATAATGAAATTTTCCCCAATTTTTTAAAGTCTTGTGTTTCAACATCAAATTTCCTTATACTTACAGTTTAATTTGACTAAGGTACAACTAATCCATATTTAATGTTTACATGTATATATACATATATATTACTTCTGAGCATTATGTTTTGTCTCTTTTTCGTTCACAACCATCTCTCTCCTCCAACAGATACACATTTAATGTAAACCACATTACACAGTGGACTCTCAATAGACACAAATAAATCAGTGGATGATATTTATTACTTTTTCACTTAAGCAATTTCCTTCATATTTTGTTTGTCTGTTCTTTCTTTCCTAGGAAAACGTGGATTATCTAATTCAGGAGCTCCGAAGACCCAAATATAGTATATATTTTATTTGTAAGTATTTTACTTATTAAAAAATCGTAGTTAGTATGCTTAGCTGAGTGTATTATATCAATAAATTAACTGAGTCATCATTATGTCTTTTTTTTAATGTCCTTTCAAAGTATTAAAAATCTTGTAATCAGCATTCTATTCCAGAATGCCAAAGATGGTTTCTATTCATCATTGATCACATAAATTAAAAAAAAAAGTTTCAGTTCTACTTTGTATTTGATGATGTTTTATAAGTGCCAAAGTTCTAAGTAGTCAAATTTTATATCGCACATTTGACATGTTGTTATGGTTAAGTGACATTGAGTTGGTTCTGACTCAGTGACCCTGTAAAGGGGTTTCAGATGCGCAGTGGTGGGTTTGAACCACTGATCTTGTGGTTTGCATTTCAGTACTTAGCTATAGTGCCATACCAGGTCTCCTATAAAATATATAGGTCTAGATATTCCTATTTTATACTTCAATGAATTGAGTTATAAGTGCTGATTTATTAATTTGGGAGGAGGTTGTACTTGTGTTTGTTGAAAAACAGATTTACTATATATACCAGATAAAAATATTTCCTTTCTCTTCACTACTTTATGTGACACTTTAGAGTACAAGTCATTCAGTAGGCATCTCTCACTCACTTTTTTTGGTTTAGAAATAAACTAAGTGTGTGGGTACTGTATAATTTACATACATTTTTCAATGTTGTTGTTGTTGTCAAGTACCATGGAGTCGGTTCCGACTCATAGTGACCCTGCACAGAGTTTCCAAGGCTGTAAATCTTTACAGGAGCAGAAAGCCTCATCTTTCCCCCGTGGAACCACTGGTAGTTTCGAACTGCTGACCTTGAGGTTGGCAGCCTGACTCATAACCACTACGCTAACAGAGATCCTTACACACACACATATATCTGCCTTGGAAGTTACATCTGTTCTCCTCTAGATGTCATTGTTGATCTTTTTAAGATTCAACAAAACAAAAACCAAACCCAGTGCCATCAAGTAGATTTTGTTCTCTGGTCACATAGTGGTTAAGGGCTTGTCTGTTATTTCAAGAGTTCTGTGATTTGAACCAGCAGCTGCTCAAGGAGAGAAAGATGTTGCAGTCTGATTCCATAAAGATTAAAGAAAACCAAACCAAACCCGTTGCCATTGAGTGGATTTCAACTTACTGTGACCCTCTGATGTGTCTCTGTCTGTCGGATAAGCACTGGACTGCTAACTACAAGGTTGGCAGTTCAATCCCACAAGCGACTTCTCAGAAACCCTATGCAGGATTGATAATTAGTTGGAACTGAGTTGGCAGCGCTTAACAACAATAGAACACAGTAGGACTGCCCCATAGGGTTTCTAAGGCTGTAAATATTTACAGAAGCAGCCTACCACCTCTTTCTCAAGTAGCTCATAGTTCCTCAAGGATCATTTGGTGGGTTCAAACTACCAACCTTGGTTAGCAGCCAAGTGCTTTACCCATTGCACCTTCAGGAATTGTAAAGATTATAGCCATGGGAAACCTCTGAGATAGTTGTTATCTGTCCTGCAGTGTCACTATGAGATTATAGAATTGTGCTTGTTGTTAAGTGCTTTCAAGTTGCTTCTAACTCATAGTGACCCTCTGCAGGGTTTCTAAGGAGTGGCTGATGAGTTTGAACCTCCGACCTACAGTTCAAACTGACCTTATGATCTAGTGCTGTATCCCACAGTGCCATACCAGGACTCCAATATACTCTATCTTAATGGATTTCAAAACCTTATGTAGGGAGTTTGAGAACTGTTAAAACTTATGTGGATGCTTTAGAATTTTCAGGTTTTTATACCTAGATTTTAGTCTAAAACTTTCTTCAGCACATGTTACTATTTAATAATGATACAAAAAGAAATAACATTTGTATGTTTCTCTCAACTCATATACACGCACATACTTGTATGCACACACATAGTTTTATATACTCATATTAAAGTTGTTAAATGCCGTCAAGTCTGTTCCAACTCATAGCAACCCTATATAGATTTTCCAAGAAGCGGCTGGTGAATTTGAACCATCGACCATATGGTTCAAACCGACCTTGCAGTCCCGTGCATTATCCCCCAACACCACACCAGGACTCCCATATTAAGGTTGTTGTTGTTTAGTGTCATCAAGTTGGTTCCAACCCATAGTGGTTTCCGAGGAGCAGCTGGTGAGTTTGAACCACCAACCATTGCATTTCAAATGGCTTTGCAGTCTTGTGCATTAACCCACAGTACCACAAGGTAGTTAGCACTAAAACCCACTGCTGTTGAGTTGATTCTAGCTCATAGCAACCTTAGATAGAGTTCCAAGTGTGTACATTTTTATGGGAGTAGACAGCCTCATCTTCCTCCCAAGGAGTGGCTGGTAGGTAGGTTTGAACTATTGACCTTGCAGTTAGCAGCCTGATGCCTAATCCACAGTACCACTAGAGCCCATGAAAAATAATCTTTGTTTACATTTCCTGTGTAGGACAATAAATTTCAGAATTTTATTTGAAGTTAACGAAAATTAATTTGTAGATAATAATTTGATTCCTGTCATTGGAGTCCTGGTGTGGTACTATAGTATAAGCACTGGACTGCAAGGTCAGTTTGAACCATATAGTCAGTTCAAACTCACCAGCTGCTCCTTGGAAACCCTTTACAGGGTCGCTATGACTTGGAGCCAACTCAACAGCACTTAACAACTACAACAATGTGATTCATTACATACTTCCAGCATAATCTGTATTAGCTCTAAACTGTCTTTTTTCTCATTCTATTTTATTTTTGGATGTTTTTATGTTAACAGCTCTCTTCTATAATATGTCTCTCCCCTCCTTTAGTAAAATAGCCTTTTTATTATGGGAGTTTCCAAATATATATAAAAGTTGTTAAGTGCCGTGGAGTCAATTTTGACTACAGTGACCCAGTATAGTGTTCCCAAGGAGCAACTGGTGTGTTTGAATCAGTGACCTTGCAATTGGTAGTCCAGTGATTATCCTACAGCACCACACTAGGACTCCAAGATTGTTGTTATTGTTAAGTGCCGTCAAGTAGGTTCCAACCCATAACAACGCTAGATACGGTTTCCCAGGAGCCGCTGGTTAGCTTGAACTGCCGACTTTGCAGTTCAAACAGCTTTACAGTCTGATGCATTTCATTAACCCACAGTGCCACACCAGTACTCGGAGTCCATATATATATATAGTTATAATTGTATACTAAATCTCTGTGTACCCATCATCCAGTTTCAACAATTATCAAGCCATGGCCAATCTTGTTTTAGCTATACTGTCACCTACTTCCTCACCAAAACTATTTGGAAGCAAATTTAAAACATGTAATTTTATCCATAAATATTTCAGTATGCATCTCTAAAAGATAAAGACTCATTTTTAAAATTCTATTATTCAGCTAAATAAAAATGAAAATTAATCAGTATATTCAGACTATTTTCCCTCAGTATTCAAATTTCCCATTCTCACATGTCTAGGTTTTGTTTTGTTTTTTAGTTTATTTGTTTTAATCTGGATCAAAATAAGGTCTACATATTGCTGTTGGCTAATGTCATTTTTGTTTCTTTAATCTTCTATAGGTTCTCTCTCTTTTTCTTTTCCTAACAAATTATTTATTGAAGAAACTGAATTGAATATAAAGTTTCCTACACCTTGGATTATGCTGATTGCATCCCCGTGGGGGTAGTTTAACATGTTCCTTGCAATTCAGCATGTTCTTCTACCTTCTAGTCCCTGTAAATTCATAGTTGGGTAACCAAATCCAAACCTTTCGCTTGTCAAGTCAATTCCAAAATGACCCTACAGAACAGAGTAGAACCGCACCATAGGACTTCCTGGTGTAGTGCTGTTGAATCAGCATTGGACCATGAACCACAAGATTGGCTGTTCAAACCCACCAACTGCTCCTTGGAAACCATATTTAGGGTTGCTATGAGTCAGAACCTACTCAATGTCACTTAACAAGAACAACAAAATCTTTAAGGAAGCAGACTACCACGACTTTCTTAAGAGATGGATTCAAACCAGCATTTTTTGATTAGCAGCCAAACACTTTAACCAATACACCACCAGAACTGCTGGCAGTAGTTGAATAGAGAAACTTAATTCAGATTAATTTTTTGACAAGAGTACTTCATAGGTGATGTGTGCTTGCATTGGTTTTCTCTTATTGTGATATTAGCACTTTTTGATGCTGAATACCTAGATCCATTTATTCATTGTTATTGTTGTTAAGTGCCCTTAATTTGGTTTCAGGCTGTATAGGGTTTCCAAGGCTGTAAATCTTTGTGGGAGCAGAAAGCCTTGTTTTTCTTCTGCAGAGTGACTGGTGGGCTCAAACTGCTGACCTTGTGGTTCACAGCCCAGTGCTTATCATACAGAGCTGGTGTTATTAGAATTCTGTCATTATCTTCTCTCTTTGTTTTAGCTGGAATATTCATTCTATAAAAATAAATTTCCCATCATCTACTATTTTGTTACTTAGTGATATAGTTTATATACAAAAGACAGGATAACAGCTTACTGTTTTCCCTTTATTTACTATTATCAGTAGTATTATCAATTTGATTCTCTAGAACCCTCCAGTAGTGGTCTTTTTCTGTGTGTTACTATGAATTTATTAATTTAAACATATTTATGCAGCTCATTCCAATTATAAGGCTTTTTTTTTTTTTTTTTTTTTTAACATATGTCATGTTGTTGTTATTAAGTGCTGTTGAGTGGGTTCCAACTCATAGCAACCCTGTATAGGGTTTCCAAGGAGTGGTTGATGGGTTGAGTGACCCTGTATAGGGTTTCCAAAGCATGGCTGGTGGGTTTGAACCACAGATCTTGTGGTTAGCAGTCCAGTGCTTACCCTACAGTGCCACTCCATTTTACATATGTCACAATGTATATTATACCAAATTTCACTTTTTTATTATTATGTTTTGTCAGACCCATTTATGTATAACTGCAACAGAGATGAGCTACTTTGAGTCAATTGAAGCTCATGTGTCTGTTTCAGATTTCAGTAATGTGATCAGCAAGAGTGAAGTGAAGTCATTGGCTGAAGCTGATGAGCAGGAAGTTGTGGCTGAAGTTCAGGTAAACGTATTGGTTCACTAACACATCTCTTATATTGGCCTTTATTAAAAATACTGAGTCTTAAAATAAGGCAGGTGCTGTGTCAAAAGAAAGGAACCTGTCAAACAGATAAAATAGATGTGTATTGCGCCAGGTCATATTGACTTGATGGCAATGGGTCTGGATGCTCATATTTAGAAAATTTGGAAGAGGTATCAAAATGAATGGGAACAGAATTAAAAGGATCAGAGAAAATGCATAATACAGAGATTAAGAAGGGTTCCACAGGATGGGGTCAGAATCAGATACTGCATGGCCAGATTTATGAGCCACACTGTAAGAATATTCATAATAGAACTATGCCTGATTGGAAGAAAATAGGAAACAAAAGTTGTGAATGAGTTTTCTTAAAGTTCTGTTTGTGATTATCTTGCTTATTCTAAAACATTTAATCTGCATATAATATATCTCAGAAAATGTCATTATGCCTTTTCCTTCTCAAACACGTAGTATTCTTGAATACATTTGTGATATGGTCACTTGAATGAAGAATAGTGTGTTAAGTAACAACAATTAAACAAATTTTAGATTTCTCAGAAGAATTTGCTAGGTTATAAATGAACAAAAAAGAATGACCTATTTTAAATTGTATACGCCACTGAACAGGAAACTTGTTTTTTATCTGATTGCAACATTGCATATCCTATTGTTGTTGTTAAGTCCTGTTGCATCAGTTCCAACTCATAGTGATCTT